TTATTTCATTTTTACTCTCACTTGTCATCATTTTCATCCATTCCCATCATGATGGACAATCGATGATAAAAAAAAGAGTAACATCTTCCCCTGTCAACAAGCAAAAAAAACAAGCTGTTTCATGATAAAAGATATGTTGATGTTGAAAGGAAGTAAAAGGATGATTGTTTGCTCTTCAAAATCGTAAGTTTATCATCATTCCATCAATACCAACATGATGATCAGGATGAATACTTGTCAGATACACCACTGAGTTTCACTTAATCCTCATCATTATCATCATCTTCTTCTTCCTCTTGAATATTGTCACTGTTTACTTGTACCAATGACAATAACAGCATTTTCTTGTTTCTAGAGAATCTCTTTTTCTTTATTGTTGATTTTCAATTTCAAGCTCAAGTCTGGTTTCATGATTACAAGCAAATTGTTCATTCCAAGTCTAATTGAAGGTTAATCATGAATCTAGTTGATTGATTTAACAATTGATCTTCACTTCACGTTCATCTTTTCCTTACATTACATATTGTTGTTATTGTTTGCTTTCATTTTACCTTTTTTCAATCAACAATTCAATCAAATATTAAAAATTATGATTATCCACTTTATTTGGATCACATTGTTAATCATGTTAATCTGTCAACAGTTTATGTTAATTTAACATTTCAATTGAATATTTTTCTTCTTCTATTTTGATAACAATTTTATTACAAAATTTACATACAATAATCATGTTTTATGTATTAATAATGGCGATTCAGAAGACAATTCAATTTCATTCATCTATTCAGTTTCATGTTATTGGATTATCAAATCAACTTAATCTTACAATTTGTCAAATTGAGTTAACATTTTCATTAATATTAATATTTAATAAATTAATCTGCCATCTTTCAGATCTTGGAAAACTCAATCTTTTCATTTGAGACGAAAATTTAATCAAATTTCAGCTAAAAACACATTTGATTTTTATAGTTTTTGCAAAATTTTGATTTCCATTCTTTTATGAGTTTCACTGAACAATTTCAGCTTATTCAATATCGTCCATTTAATCATAACATGAGTTAAACAATCGGTTTAGTTGATTTGTGAGTTTAAGCTAACAAAACATGAAAAGTCTTGAAAACAATTAAAACTGATTCTATAGTAAAGTCTCATCTAATCTGAGTTTTAGTTCAATGCTGACTTCAACTTGTATGCTCTTCCAAGACGAGATTCTTGTTTCATTTATCATGTGAATCAAGAGATGGAATTGCAAATTTTGTTTAAGTTTTTCAGATTAAATGGCCGCTCGGTCAATTTAGACATTTTCATTGTTATGATTATGGCCATAAATAACTTGCGCAGGTTGTATCAATGAAACAGTTGTGATTATGATTTTATTTTGCCTTATAAAAGTGAAAATATTAGCAACGAATTGAAGTTCAAGTTTGTCTCGTCAGCTGAAATCCTTAACTTTCAATTTACTTTTTTTGACCAGAATTTTTTAATTGATCTTCACCACAATCTATATTATATAGCCATGATTGTTCAAAGCGATCAAAGGCTTCACTCAATTGGAAAATAAATCCGTTGTTACTGTAACTCTTCAATAAACTCAATCAATTCAATATCAAACTCTTTTTATCTCATTTTTTCTACAAATTTCAAGACTGATCGTTGAAACAATTCAAGCTCTGCTTACAAATCATCCAGAAATACTGATTTTTTCAGATAATATTTTAGTTCAAATGACATTCATTTTTTCAATATTTTCTCACTGAAGACATCTAACATTTGTTATCGATACACTTTTCTTAGCCACAAATGATCAACACTTTAGTCGATCCCGAAGCTTAAACTAATCATAAAAACAAAAATGTGATTTGTGACTTTTATAAACTCAGCTTCACTTACTTTTGTTAGATCAAGTAATTTGAACAAAGCATTTCTTCGGGAGAATTGAGATTGAAAATGATTTCGTTTGAATAGTTACGATTGAATGGTTATTTTTCGTCGAATAATTCCTGTGTATTATGTGGCGAAACATGATTTATAGTTTAAACTATCGCTGATTGAATTGAATTTAGTTCTTCTTCTTGAAAGGAACAGATAATGATAATAATTTAGATTGAATTTGTTCTTTTTATTTCTTCTTTTTCTTCCCTTTTTGCATAGTAGGACACATTATTATCGTAGAGAGTAAGAAGGATTTAATTTTATCATTTAATTCAATCAAGAGAATTGATTGAAAGAAGTAAAGTTAATAAAAATCATAACAATTTGCTTGGAATTGCGTTCAATTTGAAAGGTTTTCCCGTTTTTGGTTGTATTGATGTTGTCAAAATAAATGAGATAAAAATGCAAATCATTTTTTTCTCTTCATCATCATCTTCATTTGCACATACACACACATATCATGGTGATGATGATGATCACCAACAAAAAGAGGATAAAATAAAATTGAAGGTTTGCAACATTAACATCAACCACCGGATAAATGGCAATTTGCCATAAAACTTTTTCCTCTGATCATGGATACAAATCATTCAGGAATAACTTTAATAGCCTTTTCTGTATACATTTGCTGAAGCAAACTCAACAAAAACTAATATTATAATAGACTTAAAAACTGCATTTCAATACAAAAATTCAATCCATTATTATATCATTGACACTCTTCCTTTATTTACTGATAAATTAATTATTCATTTATTTTCAAATGAAATCTCCAAACAACTTAAAGTCGATGGAAAAAATCATAATTGTCTTTCTTCGAACAATAATAACGATAAATGGCCTTTTAGGCAATTAATGTACATAAATGTAAGTTCAGAAGTTCAGTTATTCTAAAGCAATGACGATTCTTTTACTTCTTTTCTGCTCATATTATATTTTTCATTTCGTTCAAATCCAAGGATTTTTCATCATTGCGACTTTCATAAAAACGACTTTTCGAGTTTTTTTATGAGAAGCTTATCCACTAATCAGAAATTTTATCCTGTAATTAGAATAGAATTCAAAGAAAAAAATTCATTGAGATATTTCTAGTGATCTTGACTTGTAAGTCTAGTGTCCGTTCGTCAGATTAAAGATGTTAACGAAACAGAAAAGTAATCTATCTTTAATGAACTCAAATAGTTGATAAGAATAGGTCTAGCATCATATCGAAACTGAAATTAGTTAACTGATCTTCATCTCGATTAAAAAAATTGTGTTTTAAAAATCGAAAGATTGGCCTAAATGGAAAACTAAAATTTACAGAAAGTCTAAATATGAGTAACGAATTTTCGGATGAAATTTGTAAAAGTTGGCGATACAATTTTTCCCAGACTCAACCTGCAAATTCACATACGTACAAGCTCGAAACTTGTCAACTTTCTAAATGTTCAATCGAGTCGAATGTCGATTCAAGTTAAAAAGAGACTTGGAACCAAAATGTAAAGTTATCATAACTATTGGATGCAATAAAGCATATCAAATTTCAATTGTCTATTGACTTGAACATTTAATTGAAAACATTTTTCTATTTTTTTAACCAACTTTTCGATTTCTACGTTTCTAAGCATCTTGAGTCAATTTGATCAAAATTCATTTGCAACTGAACAGAAATAAAATCTTTCCTTCTCTCCTATTCAATCCTGAGATTCATTGTTGATGCAACTTTTTGTATTTCATTGTGTTTTGGTGGTTAACAGTAAATAAGGAGAGAAAGAAAAAGATTTCTTCTTTTTGTTGAGCTTTTCTTAAGAAATTAATGATCAACATTTCGATGATAATGATGAGAATGATGATGTTGATGATGATGAGAAGAATATGAGTTACAATGAGAAAAGATAGAAACACAATAATAGCTTATTATCATCTTTTAAATAGCAACTTTTTTCTTTTCAGATTAACAACAATTTCTCTTATTTTCTTCTCTATTTGTACTTGGCCTTAAGCTTTATCATTCACTGTCTTTGACAGTTTTCATCTTCAGCCTCATCATTGTCATCATCATCTTACTCTTTGTGATAATATTGACTCTTCATTTAGAGTCTTTAAGAGCATCCGAATCTTTCTTTCTTCACTTTCTTTCCTTTCATAATCTTTACAATGAAACAACCAAACAAACAAAATATTATAATAGTTGCTCTCAATTACTGTTTACAATAATCGCGATCAGAATCGGAATATTTTCCAAAAAATTATCTCCAACAAAGAACATGAATATTCCATGAAAATCATTAGACTTTGTCTCATTAAAAGACCGAAGCAAATGCCGCTAAAAATGTCGATTTGTGCGTTAATTGCAAATCTAATTGAATTAACATGTTCACATAATTGCAATTGATATCAATAAATGGTTGCAATCGATTCATTGCCTTTTAAGTCGACAATAATTGTAAACCTTTTGACAACATTTTCTGCTCTCAGTTAATGGAATAATATATCAATTGGTTGACTGAATACTGATGATTACCGGAAACATTGACAGTTATCATGAAATCAGCAAAGATGAATTCAACTGAAAAGGCGCAAAAGTATGAAATAATGCAACTTTTTTCATCTGGTCCCGAGAATCGAAAAAAAAGTCATTGATTGACGCGAGAAGGCAAAGTTGCAGGTAAAACTTTTTGGTGATGAAAATAAATTACTCAATGATTTCATTTTCTCGAGGCTATTATCGAAAGTGAAGAATTGAATGAATTGTTAGATTACCACAAACAAATATATATGACCATATCAACAGATAAACAGACACTTAGGAATACAAAAAGGAATGAGAAAAGAAAAAGAAATCTTGATTCCAAGATTCAGTTGTTTAACCAAAAAGGAGAAGAAGAAGAAGAAGGCGAAAAAAGAAAAGAGAAGAAAGAAGATAAAAGTTGGAAGAAAAGGCAAAAGCCAAATATTATTGTGATGATGATGAGGAAGAGAAACTCCACCTCAAAGAATCTCCTCTTTTACCTTATTGGATGGATTCCATTGGAATGGTTCCTCCTATTTCTTTAGGTTTGTTTTTTCTGTCAACAACTTTTTGCTGTTTCTCATGTTCACTGCAAACAAACAGATACAGTAAAAAGGTAAGGTTAGGTTACATCCTACTTGAGAGGTTTACCGACAACAAAAGCTATTCACGCAAAAGAAGCAAAAAACTTGTTTGTTGTTGCCTTTTTGCTCTCTCAGTCTCATTATTACAGTTACAGTTTTTTTTCTTCTTCTTCCTTCTCTTCCATCAGTCTCTGGGTTAACCTCATCTAAACGCCATCTTCACAAGTATCACAAGCATTTTACGTCAATCTTGAAATCTGCTCATAACCATCTTCACACCAAACACTATGCTTGGTATCTGACAATTTTCGTGTTTACAGTTTGAGAGTGAAAAAAGGAAAATCTTTTTGTTACCTTTTCATTCATCAGTTTATTGGTCATTCATTTAAAGTTATTTTGTTTGTTTTTTCATCCTTTTATTGCCGTTGTTGTTGCTGTTAATTTTGTTGTTTCATTTTTTAAAATTTCATTTCTGTTGACTTGCCGTGTTAGTGCGCTTTATTTCAACTTTTTTGGCCTTTTTCTTGTTTACTTTTTGTTTGCTTCAATCATTTGCATCGACATTGACTGTTTTCAAACATTCATCTTGAACTCGGTGAATTTGTTAACATGGCCGCTGTTGAACGGGAATACAATCCATTTGCGTTGAGCGGTCCTCCAACCTACAGTCCAATGGATCATCATCCTCACCTACCTGGTCATCATGTTGCTGATCTTAAAGCATTTGCATCTCATCATTCACTTTACCCATCTTTACACTCTCATCATCACACCTTTCCAAACCTGTACACCATTGGACCTCCGCCACCACCATCTTCATCCTCTTCAACCGTAGTCACACCAACCGCAACGCATCACCATTCATTTACGAACCTTCACATGGCTCCAACTTCATCCTCATCTCCAGTCACTTCACCAACATCTCAAGGTATTAAAACTTTTCATTTTTTAGACAATTTTGCCAAATTAAACATACGCAAAATATTTTAATCGTTTAAGTTAAGATTACTTTCAATCTTTTCATTTCATGATTAGTCTTAAGATCAAATTCAAGATCATTTCAGATGTTAGCTTGTTATTGTAATGTTTACTAAATTGTTTCAATTTTGTCTTAGGATCTTACGCATCTCATCATCATGCTTCTGCATATCATGCAGCTGCTGCAGCCGCAGCGGCCGCATTGAACATTATGCCACCAACACCAACATCAACACCGACATCAACTTCATCTTCTTCTTCTTCATCCTCATCATCATCCTCTTCAAACCATCACAACTCCAATAACAATAAATCAACAAACTCAAGCAATATCGTTAATCATCATGACGATGACTCTAACCACAGTTCACCTGAACTCGTTAACAGTGTTAATAATAACAATAATTCAACCAATAGTGGTAATTCAGGGATTCATTGTTCACCCAATGCAACCATGTCAAGCCATTCATCTGATAATTCATCTTCAACCCTGTCCAAGAAGGAATATGATCGAGTTAAAAGACCAATGAATGCATTCATGGTTTGGTCACGAGCACAGCGTCGTCGGATTGCCCTTGAAAACCCAAAGATGCACAACTCTGAGATATCGAAGCGTCTTGGAACCAAATGGAAACATCTAAATGAGAACGAGAAAAGACCTTTCATTGAAGAGGCAAAACACTTACGTGCCCTTCACATGAAGCAATATCCCGACTACAAGTATAAACCTCGTCGTAAACCAAAGCCCATGATGACCAAACAACCCTGTCCAATGCCATACTTACAAGCACCTCTTGATCTTCTCGGTTTCCATCGATCTTTCTCTCATTCCCTGCACCTTCACCAATCACACCATGCAAATCAACTGCACAATCCCTCAGCACCCAATTTACCTCCTTCACCACCCTCACAGTCACCAACCTCTTCAACCTCATCGAATCACAATTCATCTTCAGATGCTCATCGAGCTGCCTCAGCATCAGCAGCAGCAGCAGCCGCTGCAGCGGCCGCAGCAGTTGCCTCTGGAAATGGATCAATAAACAGTGTTCCAAGGTTCATGCCTCCGTTTCCAGCCTCACATTTACTTGGATTTTATTCACAATATTTTACCAATTCGTTTTTGAAGCAACCATTTGCTTCAGGATTATCCGTTAATCAACAAATCAACGATTCAATTGGTTCAACAAACAACTCCGAGTCATCTGAAAATGCGATCTAATATTATGTTACAAACAATGGTACAAAGAAGCAGTGAATCCCAATGATGAAGAGCAGTTTATCGAACTCAACATTTCAATAGAAAAGGTTTTTGTTTAATTGGAAGCTCGAAAAATGTTCACTTTACTTTACCGACTAACAATGTTCCAATCCTTTTCTTTCATTCATTGTACCCAATCACCTTTATCAACCTATCTATCCACCTATTACTCTGTCTTATGATTTGATATCTTTGCTCATTCATCCATTGCATGTTAATATTTATTGCAATTTAGTAAATAATTGGAATTTTAAAAGAAACAAAAACTAATTCTAATGGTAATTATAAAGAATCAAAAAATGAAAAGAATATCAAAATTGTCATTTTAATCGCGAAACTTTGCCTTCGAAGTTCAATGAAACAGATTCATGGTTTATCTACATAAGACTTTAATCTCAACAGTCTTGACTGATTCAAGTAGAGACATCTTTTTGTAATCAATTGATTCACAATTCAGTCTTAATTGAATTTCGCTTTCTTTTTCCAATCAACTTTTCTTTTCTTTATTTTGCCTTTCCAATTGTTTCCTTTGATTGTTACACTGATTAGTGAATTCATTCATTGCAATCCAGTTTGTTTAGTAATTGTTATCTAGTTTAATCAACAATAAACTCAACAACAGAAGCAATTCAAGTTTAGATGATAATAGTAATTAGCTAATGATTGGAATGAAGAAAGTGCAAACTTATTTTTACTTTACTTTTTGTACTCTCACCAATCAATCTTAATCAACCTTCAAATTGAACAATTAAGAATCAAACAATCACTTTGATTCCTATTTAATTACAAGTCAACCAAAGTGATAATAAAATGTTTAACTTCAAGTGTTCATTGTAAGGATAAACAGTTGAAAAATGTTGCTTTTATTGTTTACTAATTGATAGTTTATTGAATAATATTTCATGATGTCCATTGAAATGATTAAACCATTTCCATTGAATAAATTGACTGATGAATGAGATTTTTGTCCTTCTTTTCATTGGAATCAATGAATGAAAGAAACGAATCAAAATCAAACATTGAAAGCAAAGAAGACAATTTTTTCACCAAAATGTAAATCTAATTAATCATTCAATTAATTTGACTGAAAATTCATTGAAACAGAAAGAGAATGAAATTTAAATGTTGATGAAACAAGGTTTCAATTGTATTATTTCAAGTCAATTTCCTTTAATTTTGTTGTTCCAACAATCTGTTTGTTCAAATAATCAAATGTTTTTGCACCTTAATCAAACAAGGTTATCAATTTGAATTGCGATTGGACTTGAAATGAACCAATTTTACTCTCTTTATCGCAACCCAAAGGTAAAGGTAACAATTTGTTGTTTAACTTGCACTAAATGTTACCTTTTTAAATGTCTTTTTATTGTCTTTGTATTATCATTGTTGGTGCAACTTTTTTTAAAGCACAATAAGCATCAATAACATTAACAACAACATCAACCAAGCAGAGTAATGAAATGCTGTAATAAAATAATAATCAAACAACAAAAGTCCAAACTGATAAAAGAGCGAAACATTGCCTTTCCTTGTTATTCATTTTTGTTGAGTTTTGTTTTCTTTCTTCAGCCTGTTACAATTATTACAGGCTTGGTTACCTGGTTGAACCATTGTTAATATTGTATTATTATTTACTCAAAAGGTTTTGTATTTAAACCTGAGAAGATGAGAGATGAAAGAGAAGAAGAAGAAGAGGAAAAAAACAAAACATTGGGATAACTTTTGGTGCTGCAAAGTGGGTTAATTGAGCGTAGAGAGTAACTCGATTTAACAATGAATTCAATTGAACACATGAAACAGGCGAGTCTTTAATTACTGGAGAAATGATTGAAAGATGAAATGAAGAGAGTCATGATGGACAGTAAACAACATACTATTTTTGTTTTCAATTTTATCGACTTTTGTATCGATTCAATTCTTTGGCTTTCTATTGACAATTTTTTTGTAGAATGTCAATTTCTTGGCAAAAATTTATTTAAATGTTGAGTATTGGTTCATCTTGGATATCAATTTTTAGTATTTGGATAAAAGATTTTATTTTGCGTTTCATTGATTCGATGAAAGCTGATATAGGACTTTTTCAGGTTACAGGGTAGTTGGAAGTAGGTTCAATGTGAACATGCACACTGCGCAAAAAAGTCATTGATTGAATGGAGATCAAGGTGAAGAAACTGTTGCCGCTATTTGGACAAAATACTTGAGCAATGGCAAGTTTATGGCAAACTTATCATTTTTTTCTTCATGAAGACAAAAAATAACTTCGTTTCCTATTTTCAAGTCATTTGCTGAATTCAATGGTTTTTTTCAAACTGTTAGCTTCAATTTTTTTCAAAGAGAGTCAGGTAATGCAAAAATCCATTTTCATATAAAGTGATAATACACGATCATATATAATGATGGTTATATTCAATGATAATACTTGAATTCTTTGCTTTGTTCTGTTTCTTGTTTTTGTTGGCGAATTTATTCAGGCTTGATTAAATGTTATTATTTGCGCTTTGGTGCCTTCAGCGATCCTCCAAAGGTCAAGTAATGATTGCTTCTTCATCCATTTTAAGATGACAACCTCTTCGATAAATAGCTAAATTGGATAGATAAGAAATAAACTTGTATTAGAAGAGGTTTATGCAAGTTTACACATTGAAATATCTTGAGTCCATCATTGATTGGAAGAGTATTTAATGAACAAAGGCATAGCTGACCACGGGAAGGCAAATGTGACAAAAAAATCAAACATTGCAAAACTTTGTTAGTTTCTAATACAGGGCTATTCAGCTATCTTTACCGATGTTAAACGGCTATATCTTGGCCTGTGATTGACCTTGAGGGGTCAGATTTTTTATAATTGAATTTCGCTGATACTTATTCGCTATATTTCAAGGTCAAGGTCATTCAAGGTCATTTGTCGGAAATCGCTCCTAACGCTATTAGAGGTCAACCGAAGTTTGCATAATAATTTTCAAAAATCAAGGTCAAGATCAAAAAGATCAAGAACAAAAGAAACGTTGATTAGTTATATAATTTCAGAGAAACGATTAGGCCCACATTTTATTGGAATATTCGATGGAGGACGAATCGAGGAATACATTCAGGTAAGGTCAATGTTACATCTTTCCCATTAGCCTTTGTTAAGTTGACTTGATGAGAGACTTTACATTTGTTGATGTTTTGTTAAACTCATTGTTATCAGTCTACCATTCCAACTCGTGAGCAATATGAAAGACAATTGATGTTCAAAGCACTGCCTTATAAATTGACCACCATTCATTCCTTGCGACTACCATTTTCTCGTCGAGTCCAGTTAGATTTGACTGCAATGGTATCAGGTTTGACGAAAAGCACAACATTTGCTGCTTACTTTAATTGATCCAAAGTCAATGCGTTCTCAGAGAAGCTATTAAATTTCAATTATGCCGAGGAATTAGATTGTTAATTCCGTTGTTTACTCAAATACCTTCAAAAATTGTATTCTGTCATCAAGATCTGAATCGGTTGAACATTTTGATTAGAACAAGAAACAGTGACGATTCTTGTAGAGGATGTCAATAATAATGACCTTGAATGACCTTGACCTTGAAATATAGCAAATAAGTATCGGCGAAATTTAATTATAAAAAATCTGATCTGAAGTTAGTACCCGGTGCGACATTTAACCTGGATTTTATCAGCTGTATATAGACGAACATAATGTAATCGATTTTGGGAAAATATGTGCTTTACCAGAGACAATTTACATTTTTCAACTGATTGATAACTAATAAATGTGTTACTCAAGTTATGTTTGAATGTGTTTTCGATATCGCTTCGGTTCTCCTTTACAGCCAGAAATGGAATATTCCTTTGATGAAGATCAGCTGGAGCCTTAGCAAGGAATTGTTATTGGCCAATTTTTCAGTCGATTATTCAGAATTAACAAACAAGGCATGTATTTGTAAAAAAATAAATTATCAGGCGATTCGATAAAATGTCAGTTAATAGTACAGTTAAGGAGTAGCAAAACTGGAAAATTGCTGAAAGCAAGTCTCTCATGTGAATGCAAAGACAAAAACTTTTTGAGAGTTAGCCATTGATAATGAAAGCATACATGTTATGAGAAAGTACTGGGTGAAGGCAAAGACATATCAAGCATGTCAAGATGGAATCACAAGTCAGGTCTTAACCAATATCCTTCATTTAGTACTATGATCGTATTTTCGTGACTCAAAAAATTGTTAGTTCAAAGCGAAAAACAACATTGAAAAAAACGTTAAGTCTTCCATATTCGAGACAAGTAATCAACGCAATCATTCCAATTTACCCTCCACTTTCTCAATATCTAGAGTAGCTTTTTACCTTAAAACACCTGCGATCACAAAATCGGAAATCTCTCAAGCTTTAATTACAAGAAGAATAATTTTTGAATTTTTTGTCTTTAATAGTAAAATAATTCCCCGACACTTTAAAAGACATTTATAATCAAACCTCCTGTTTCAATACGTTCATATGCGTCAACCCTAACGACTGATGGACATTATTTTCAAATTGAGCCTCAACTTTTCATTCGTTTCGTTGAGTTGTGTTGATGAAAAACTAAAAACTTTTCCCCTCCAAACTCAACTTTGAAACTTGCAAGCAATACTTTTTCATGTTTAAATAACGCTAACAATAAACAATATTTTTTATTATCGTTACTTGAACAATTGATGTAAGTTTTGATAGTTTTGACGGCTAATAACAGATTTCAATCATTTATTTATCATTGAAAGACGAACATGAAAAGTGAACATTGATCAAACAATGATAAATTGATAAAGAAAAGAATGAAAATAAATGTTTCCAAATATTTCAATTGTTTCGAGTTTGTATTTGATTCTTTTATTGTCACAATAAATAATCAATTGATAATTTTCACTACAATTTGACTTATCCAAAGGCATAATGGACATGATTTAAGAGATAATATGAAGATGCGAAAAGTGAACATGACAAGGAATAAGTCTTGTGCCTGCATTTGTTTCTTGTTGTCAATCCTATAAAACTGATCGGAAATCCTGACCGGAAGGTTGAAGACAATCAGTTAATATCATCATCATCATCGTCTCTCTCTCCATTCATTGTAATGTTATTTTGTTTGAATCTGTTATTCATCCACACAGAGAGTGAAAGTGCAAAAAAACCAAACACAAACAATATAAAGTGACAATAATAATGAAATAAGCATCATTGAGGTAACATTATTATTGCTTTATGACTGTTATCAATTCTGAAACTCTGACCGGATAAGGAAACTGAGAAAATATGCAAAGGATCCTGTTATTATCGTCATTATT